TCTATCACTCTTGATTGCCTTAGTTTCTGTTCTATCGTTAGTAAAAATCGATTTAATGTCATTGGATAATTATTTATTGTTATTATTATTATTATTATTATTATTATTATTATTATTTTTAACTTTGTTTTTTCATTTTAGAAATATATTTTATCGATACATTATAATTAGCGCTCCCGAGTACTGTATTGTCTATCGATAGAATGAGAGATGAGGATGTAAATTAATAAAAAATAAAAAAAAATGAAAAAGTCATAAAAGCGTGAAAAAGAAAGACCCGATAATGTCTAGCCGTCGCCGTTGATAACGAATAGAAGCGAGAGTAAAATAGTAGTGCATATAAGAGATTTTTTTCCTCCTCTTCCTTATTCTTTTTTATTCGTCTTATTATTTTTTTTCCCCGAGTAGAGCTTCCAAGTCTGACGAGAAAAAATGTAATTATCATGAATCAGTACGCGAGCTAAATTATAACATAGTATATGTCAAAAAATTTAAACTTAATTATTTTTGAGAAAAAAAAAAATGTTTAATTGTAAAATAAAACTAAAGTCACGGGCTTTCAAATAAAAGTTTAAACAAACGCTAAAAATAAAAAAATGTAATTCAATAACAAACATCATTTAATTATATAAATATGAATTACGAATAATTAAACGGCAGTTTTTAAAACGATAATTAAATTCTCCGCAAATTTATTTTGAAAATATATAATTATTATTTTGTCAAGCCAATGCTTAATTTAATATGCTTTTTATATTTCCTTATTTAATTAGTTTTTTTAATAATAATACTTCAAAGGTGAATATATAATAAATTAAAAACTTTCAAATAAAATTTCATTTTAAAAAGTTACGTTGACTTTAACAGTATAAAAGAATTCCACTCGTTGAATGAACACACTATATTATAATAATAATAAAATAAAATAAATAAAAAAGAGGGTATTAATAATAAAAAGTTTTATAAAAATGATTCATCAGAGCTTAAAGAAAGTAACAACTAAAGCTCAGTACTCTACTCATACAAGCTTACGTAATTCTTCAGTTCATTGTGTGCCAGCCAAGGAAAAAAAATGGTCGAGGACATGAGCACTTTATATTTGTACATATACGTCATATATGAAGGTCCATACATCATATCCGAGTAAGGGATTTAAAGCTATTATAACTTTAAACAAAAAAGAGCGAAAGAAACAGTAAAAAGTTGTCATGATAGCTGCTAGCTGTGTCAAGTAACGTAAGGACAGATACACATACATGAACACAGTACAGAGCCAGACAGCTATACGTACACATTTACACATCCTCAATATTGAGTTCTATACATTGCTGGACTACTGCTCAAGTACTTTACACCAAATACAAAGTAAAACGTTCAATTCTGGTTTAAGTATTTCAATAGCTTTTGCCTAGTTCGATTCATTTGATAGTAGCGTCTAGTAATGCTGAGTCGCCTTAGTAATCGCACAGAGTAACTACCCAACTTCTACTCCATCTCGACCAACAAATAGTAAAGTTACGTCTTCAACTCTACTTATATATATATATATATATATATATATATATATATATATATATATGTTATGCATCTTACGCTTTTTGATGACAGAAAATCTTTTTATTTATTTTAATAAATTTACCTTGGGAACAAAATTCTAGTTTTTGGTGATTTTAAAAACTCCTTTCATTATTATTTGGTGTTTGAAATGGTATGAAAAACCACCAGACTTTGGTGTGGTTTATCCACAGCGTTAGTCGGTACGTGGCAAGAGTATATGTAACGAAATATTCACGACATGATGCAATAAAAAATTTTTTTCTCAACATTACCCAGTGTTATTTGTTGTGTTTGTAAAGGAAGCGATAAAAAATGGAAAAGGGTTGAAATTTTTCTCAGAATGGTGAAGAAATAACTTATCCGATGAAAAATGTGACTGAGCAAATGGAAAGCGAACGAAAAATATTGAATGAAAATAATGTGTAAATACGAGGGAGAATTAAGCAAAAAATAAGAGTATTTGCTTGAAAGCGTTTGGAGAATTGTCATTAAAAATATTTATTATTAAATTATTCATGTCTGCGGATATATTATTATTTAAATCAAATCGCTATAGATGATATTATTATTATTAAACGTGAAGAAAAGACTGAAAACACAAAAGTGCAAAAAAATAGTTTTTTTTTTTTAATTTAATGAATTAAAAAAAAATTATTTTGTGATGATTAATTGGAAAAAAAAAATCTTTGACAAGAAGTTGATAGATTAATGTTAGCCATTGAAAATTGTGTAATTTTTACTGCACTAGCGTGACTAGTAGGAAATAAAATATAATATTGTCAGTATTATGAATAAAAAATACATCCATTAAACAGCGAAATAAATCTTTCATGTTACATTTTTTCTAATTATGTATATATTTGTATTCATATATTATACATAGTACGTATATTACAGTAAAGACTACAATATCTTCAAATTGTTGTACTTTTTATTAACCATTAAATCGTATTTTTTTTTTCATCATTATTACCAAAATACTTAATGGCTCGAGATACAAGTAAAACGAATTTTGTGGCAAGCAAATTGTGGATATAAGAATATAGACATACACATATATGCATCTATATGAATATAACTTTATTCGCATGGATAATAATGTAACTCTAACTCTAAATCTCAATAGTAAATAAATTAATGAGTAATACGTTTGAAAATAAATTTTGATATTGAAAGGGAGGAAATGACGTTGTTGATGGGGTGAAAAATAGGCCATTAAAGTAAGACTACCAGTATAATAGTAGAGCCGACGGAAAATGATGCTTTTGAATAGAATAGCATAGAATAAAATCAAATGGAAAACAACAGAAGCGAACACGGAAAATAAAACAGACGGTGACAGCTTTAAGCAGAAAATATAGGTGATAAAGAAACATCCAAGACTTTTCTACAATTCTGAATGCTCCTCTGTTCAATTTTATAGTTTGTCCTTTACTCCGTAAACCCCTAACACATAAATACTTTATATATATATATATATACACATATGTATAGTATAAAAATAAATTCTTTCAGCACAAATACTCACGAAAACTAACCAGAAATTTAGATAACGACGGTAAGTGAGAATGTATATTCATCAATAAAAACAACCAGTTCTTTCAATGTTATTAACGAGAATAAGTTTAGAAAAACAAGAGACATAGGTTTTCTCGCCACCACCACCACCACCGTCGACTCCGATTCGTCGTCACATTTCCGTTTTCATTTTATAACATTTCATAGCGATACATTTTATTTTTCACTGCTAAATTGTGAGCACTGTATCAACACTCCAAAAAATATGTATTCACATTTTTCATTTTACGAGATCATTTTTTTTGTTCCGCTCCGATATTTCTGACAAACAAACATATATGATTGAATTTAATAACTATAATATATATGTATATATTAAACACGTATATACATTTTTTTCAACTGACTTTTCTCTCTCTCACTCTTTAGCACCGCCGAAACTCCGATGACGGCGGAGCTCCAGATTAATATGGCCGTCCGTTGACACGAACTTTCGATAGGGCGAAAGTATCTGGTCAACTCAACAATAATCCACTAAAACATCAACTTACGTTTCCGTACGAACCTGACAAAAATATTATTATATGACTTTTATGAAATAAACATGTCAAAATTAAAAATAGATAATAACAGCAATACTAGTAATAATGAAAATAATAATAATAATAATAATAGTAGTAATTATAATAATAATAATAATAGCAATAATAACAATAAAATAATCACATGAATGCTCATCACCAGCACACTTCACCCTTGACTCTTTTATTCTCACACCCATATATCCTATGGTAACTCTCTCTTATTACATACATTTATACTTATACATAATACATATTACGTGTATTATACTTTAAAAGATACATACACATAAATATCTACATATTAATGGATATATATGTATACATTTTCATCTACTCACACTCTCACTCTTTCTTTCTTTCTCTCTCCCTCTCTCTCTCTCTCTTTCTCTGGGCACTCACCTCACTGTCGTGCTTTCCTTCACCCTCACTAAAAATCCTCACTGGTATTAAACGTTAAATTTAACAAATCCACAGAAATACTTGAATGTTGCTATAAAATCAACAAAACACAACACATTTAATTAATAAACAATTGTCACTATTATTATTTATGCGAACTGATAGACATTATAAAATAATAATGGTAAATTGGACGCGGGTTACACCATGAACGACGTCAACATCACGACCGTACGCTGTCGTGGCGGCCATCTTTTTCGGGGCCATACGAATAAAACGCCGTGCTAGATCTCAACTACAAATACCAACTAACAATATCTGTATCTACACACTTATCTAAATTTATACCTATATGGATATGTACTTTTGTACTCTACGCTCTTACGCTCTACGTTGTATGCTGTACTGTAACATATAAATGTGTTTGTACTCTGTCTATGTGTATAAAAGAGTTAGGATCACGGGCAATTTGACACAGTCAAAGGCTGTGTTCACTTTCACAGATGTTTCTAACGTGTATTTACGGATATGTAGGGCAACAGTGGCGCTAGTGAGGTTTTTCTATTTTAAAAATTGGCCGTAACGACATCTTTTAACACCAAAATCATCAGCGGGAATTTTTAATTCAAATAAAAAGCTTAAAAGTTTATTTTATTTAAAATTTATTCTCTGTTGTAATTAACATAACATTATTTGATCGACATGAATTATTTTTATATAAGTGTAGAAAATTTTTTCACTTAAACTTTCGTATAAAATACAACGATACAAATATCTCATAAGTATATCAGTATGTAGAAAAAATTTTGAACACAAACAATTATGTATATTTTTGTACGCATTGAGGTAAAAAAATGAGAGTAATTTATTTTTCAGCGAGTGGAAGACTGCTGTGCAATTTAAGTGGAATGTAACCCACGCGTAAATAATGTAATAACATTCTCAATGTTTGATAATATCTTTTACGGCTTCGGCTATTTTAGCCGCACTTATACCGTAAACGTCCAGAAGAACATCAGGTGGTCCTGAGTGTGGTACTTTTGAAACGGCAAGTTTTTTAATGATTATGTTGCGTTCAAGTGCTACAGCTGATGCAACTGCTTCACCTAAGCCACCCTCAGGGTAATGATCCTCGACGGTAATGATTTTACCACAGCATTTCTTAGCATTAGCTATTACGGTTGCTGAATCAATCGGCTTGACAGTGAATGGATCAAGTACACGTACACTGATACCGGCTGCGGCTAGTTGGTCTGCGGCTTTCAATGCTTCATGAAGAGTTACACCAGCACCAATTACGAGAACTTGGTCTTTAGCAGCTTTGCGGATTACTTTGGCCTTGCCGATATTCATTGACTCGTTGTTGTCATAGAGGATGGCAGTGTTGGGACGTGATGTACGTATGAAGCAAACACCTTTGGTATTGGCAGCCAATTCGACAGCCCGCTCAGTTGACACTGCATCACTCGGGTAAAACACTGTTGAGCCCGGAACTGCACGGAACATTGCAATGTCTTCGAGACCCATTTGTGATGGTCCATCTTCACCAATTGATACTCCGCAGTGTGATCCAACAAAGTTGACATTGGTTTGTGAAATTGCTCCCATACGAATCTGAAAATTAAATATTATTATTACATTTGATACAAAATCATGAAGAAAGAAATTATTTCAGAGATAATTAAAAATTTTCTCATTAATTATTTCTACTAGTTGAGCTTTAAAAATTTATTTTCACATCTTGTTAATTTTAATTGAATAAATGTAAGTTAAAAGCTATATTCAATCATAAAATATAAATGTTTTTTTATCGATTTTATAAAATAAAGTTTGCTCAAAGATTATAAATCAAGCTTAAATCTTAAAGATAAACTCACTTTGATCGTTTTAGTTGATAATTTAATTCACGATGCATAATCAACACAAAGTTTATCTTATCTTTTTTTTATAATTTAATGACTAAATCCAATTAATAATAATGAGTATATACAAACAGTGAAACACACCTGATCAAAAGTACGAGTGAAAAATGTTGCAAAGGCTGATACAAAAACAACAGTACGATCTCTGCATGCAGCTCCAATAGCAACACCAACAGCATTCTGTTCAGCAATGAAACACTCAACAAAACGTTTTGGGTCGACAGTTTTTATCTTCTCAGCGAAGGTAGAATTTTTAGTGTCACCATCCAGTGCAATAACACGTGCATTGTTTTTGGCTATTTTAGCCAAAGCAGTTCCATAAGCCAAACGGGTGGCAACTTGATCAGTTGTCTTGTAATTAGGTGGGCTGTCAAGTTTAATGTTGGTAATATCTACCACGGGAACATCATCAATCAAAGGTTTTTGCGGATGTAATGTCAAAGGACCCGCATTTTTTATTAATGATTTCAAATGCGCGATGACTTCTTCAGCTTTATTGCCAAGAGCTTTTCCATGCCAGTTATCCAAATCTTCAATATTTGGGAAATTCTTGCCTTTGAATGTTTTTGCGAGGATAGCTGTAGGACGGTCTTTAGTAATTTGTGCTTCGTGAAATGCCTGTTGAATGAATATTTATTATTAACTTTTGAAATTTACGTTATGTATGACGTAAATAACATTTTGATTGTCTAATAACTAATAACTAATAAATGCAACCAAACAAATTTATGTATACCTTGACCAATTCTTCAACGTCATGGCCATCGACAACTAAAGCATTAAATCCAAATGCCTCCAAGCGCTTTCGGTATACTTCCATGTTATGTTGTAAAGAAGTAGGTTCACTTTGACCAAGACGATTGATGTCAAAAATGGCACAAAGATTATCAAGTTTGTAGTAAGAGGCAAAGTGTAGTGCTTCCCAAATTGAACCTTCTGCTGATTCTCCATCACCAATTAAACAGTATACACTGAAATTAATTATTTACTTATTTATTAATAAAATATTCGATAAAAAAAGTTTATTTTATAACGCAAGCGATGAAAATACTTACCGGTAATTGGCCTTGTCATAATTTTTTCCGACATAAGCCATACCAGCAGCAACTGAAAGACCTTGACCCAGGGATCCAGTACCCACATCAACGAAATTCAATCTTGGAGTTGGATGACCCTCTAAATCGCTGTCGATTTTACGTAAATTGAGTAAATCTTCAACAGGGAACAATCCAGCTTCTGCCCATGCTGAAAATTATAATTGAAAGCGAGTCATTAGTCATTCAGCTATTACTAACATTTAAAAAAATCACGATAATTACCAGCATATAAGATTGGAGCGGCATGTCCTTTACTCAAGATAAATCTGTCGCTGTTAGGATCACGTGGAACAGAAACTTTGTAGCGCATCGTATGGAAAAACAATACAGACATAACTTCTGCCATTGATGAACATGATGTTGGATGTCTATTAATTTTTTAATATTAAAAAAAAATTAATAAATCATTTTGATTATCGAATAAATCGATTAATATAATCATTGATAATAATAACACTAAAATTAATAATAAATGTCCTTAATCAAAAAAAATTTAAGTATTGATAAAAATATTGTGGCTGTTTCTTCAATACGTGTAAAGCCTATTGATCCGTTCTAAATGACAGTGTCAAAACTAAAAGGCGCTTGACCTGCGAATGATAATTTCTTGGTAATATTGAATAACATAAAGTTCATTTAAATTTACAAAAAATTGATAACAAATTATCCTTTTTACGTAATTCAATTAAAAAATATTCCATTACAATGTTACATAAATAAATTCATGAATTTTATGAATGTATTAAGTATAAAATCTAACGATTATTCAATATGAATAATATACAGTTTTTAATAAACTTTCAAATTTAATCGTTTGCGATTTTAAATTTCTACAAGTCAAATAATTATAAAAAAGAAAAAGTATAATTACTTATCACTACTAAAAATAAAGGAATATTGTAAATAATTAAATTTTTATTTAAAAAATTGTAAAATTAATTTGAATTTCTATTACCCGCTCTTTGAAGCTTCGGTGGCTTTAATACTTAAAATCCTTAATTTATGCCCCATATCACGTAATTTTTGTAGTTCTTTTTCACGTACCATTTTTCTTTTTTTTTTTTCTTTTTTTTTTTTATTACCAAGATATTAAACTTAATAAAATATATGCTATTTATATTCTATACAACCAAAAATAATTTGAGACCGTATCGTACAATGGCTTGATATCAACTAATAAAGTTAGCGTTACGCTCGCTATCGGTGAACTGCGCGTCGACCTTATGACGTTATATCTAAGTATTGAACGTATGTATTTTATCGACTCAGCGTGAAAAAAAAATTTTTTATTCCAAGCCGCGTGCTCTCGGCTGTTTCAAATTGATCCTCAAAAATTTTTCAACATTTGGAATTAATAATAAATTATTTTTGTATTTAATAATTTTTTGAAAAAAATTTTTCCTTTTCGTATATAAAAATTTTTATTTGCCATGTATTGGGTATTTAAGTGATAAATTACGGTACTGTTATTACATAATCGAAAGTTAAAATAATGCTAATGATGATTGCATTTTTTTAATGATAGGTAATTACAGCAAAAAATGTAGTATAACACGATAAGCTATCTTTTACAACTATGATAAATTACTTTTGTAACTAGTTGTCATTGTTGTTTTGATAATAGAAAATTAAATAAATTTGTTAATGAATTATTTTTATAATTTTCTTTTAGTTTCAACAAATGTTTCCGGTGATAATTAATTAATATGAATGAGTAAAGTGTTGTACCTTGAACTTAAAGTCATATAAATTGATATTTTTAGCAATCAGCAATCAACCTATTATTTTTAATGTTATTATTATTATTATTTGCTCATAAACCAAAATTATCAATAAAAAGTCGCTTGAATTGATAAAAAAAAGCTTATCAAATAATGATAATCAGCGTTGGCACGTGGCTAAAAATATTAAATATCGAATAATAATTAATCAGTATTATTATAAGATCATATATTAATTATATATGTTAACAATAATATAATCGAATATTCAATTATTGAATGCAAACAAAATTTTTTTTTGTGAAGAATAACTATTATTATGTGCTTACCCGGATTTACTAGCTTGCGTGGAATTAATGGCATCAATTCTCAGTTTATTAGCGATATCCTTGAGCTCTTGAATTGTTTTAGACTCTGGTTTATGATAGTTGTCCATTGTCGTAATTTCGTTTTTAATTTGTTTGTTTGTTGTAAAGTCAACTATTAGTAAATAAAATTAATGATGCAGATCAATAAATTTCCAACGTGGAATCGCCGGAAACTCAAGTGAGAATAACCGTAAAAAATCTAACACGGTGTTAGGACTTTGCACGAGATAAGAAACGCCGGGAGTTATACGTAAGGTTACTAAAAAAAAACAGAGTTTTCGGATTCTAGTAACCTTGATGATCTCAATAGTACTTTTTTTTTTATCGGAAAAGAGACATTTAGCGCAAGATTCGGAATAAGCAAAAACTAAACATTTGTACCATAATAAATAGTAGAGACATCTAGTATGTACAAAGAAAAATGAGAGTACATCGCGATGCCGCCATAATTGTTTATTCACATTCCCGCGCATTTCTACACTAAGTATATTTAAATAAAGTAAACTAAACCTTAAACTTACTAACGTAAACCACTGAGTGAAATGTAACACAGCCCGCGAAAGCTAAATAGTTGTTGTTATTTTAACTAATTTTTTTTTTGTTTATCATTTTTATGTTAAATCTTATTTTTTTTTATATATAACAATCAATTCAATATTATAAATTTGATAAATACGTGATATTCATTTTGAATATAATAAATTTATAACCTAAAATGGAAGACAGTCGTAAGTATAATAAATTATAATTATTATTATCATTTATAATAAATATAATAAATGAGTGAAAATTTAATAAGTTATTATATTTTTTACTTAAGCAACAACGTCTCGGAGTAAAAGGGTTAAAATCGATAAATCCAATCGAAGTGCGGCTTTTCAAAAACTAAAAGAATTGAAAGGGAGTAAAAATAAATATCACGTTGGCCAATTGGAAAATGTATATGATCAAGTTGACGAGAAAGAATATTCAAAGACTGTTGCTGATCGACAGCAATCTGATTGGATTGTTGATGACGGTAAGGTTTATTTTTATAATATTATTTTTATCATATAATTTATTTACTTATTTATTTATTTAGGTGGTGACGGATACATTGAAGATGGTAGAGAAATTTTCGACGACGATTTAGATGATGAAAGTATTAAAAAAGCATCAAAACTAAATTTATCAGGTCCACGCAAACGCAAGCGAGAAAAAGAGGATGAATCTAAATCAAAAGGCTCCATTGTTAATATGTTTAAAAAATGTGACAAGAAAAAAGACTCAGTGAAACCGGAAAATGAAAACCTTTTATCAGATATACTCAACGAATTTAAAAAGAATAAAACATCATCAGAAACGAATAAAAGTATATCAACAGTTAATAAATTTAAAGTTAAGTCTACAAAACCATCATCAGTACAACACCAAGAAAACTTCAATGGTCTTGCCGATCAGCCGAAGAATGTCAAGAAAATAACAGAAAGTATTGATAATGATGATGATTTAAGTATATTTGACGATAATTCAACGGCAGCAAAAGTAGAAACTACTGTAATAAAACCACCCAGTCAAAAGATAACAGAAATAAAGGAAAGTATTGTTACTGATGACATCAATCCTACTCCAGATGATTCAAAAGCTATAAATGAGATCATCAGTAGTTATGATGATAGTGATTATAAAGAAATAACTGGATCAACAAACCAAGAAAAATTTAATGAAGATTTTCATTTTGCAATAGAAGAGGATGGCTACGATGATTTAATCGAATCAATAGACGTAGAGAAAGTGAATAAAGATAATCGCCCTGTAATAGAAGACGATGACTTTAGTGAAGTTATAGCATCATTAGATGAAAAATCATTATGGGCAGCATGGGACGGTGATACAGATGATCCAGTAAAAGAAGCTGCAACAGTTAAAGCAGCACCATTGTCGTCATCACTTACTGACACCAATGATCTATTCAAGTCTGCTATTTTGAAAAACAATAACGGTGATGATGTTGTTAGATTTTTTTGGTGGGACGCTGTTGAAAATCCATACAAAACTCCGGGTACTGTTAATTTGTTCGGAAAAATTTATATTGAATCATCTAAAAGTTTTGTATCTTGTTGTTTGACTGTCAAAAATATTCCACGCAGACTTTATGTCTTACCAAGAGAAAAAATAATTGACAGCGAAACAAAAGAGGAAAGACTTACAACAATGAAGGACGTATATGATGAATTTAAAAAATTAGCAAATGCTAATAAAATAAATGAGTTTCGTAGTTTAACAACATCAAAATTATATGTCTTTGATAGGGTGAATACACCATTACAATCAGAGTATCTCGAGGTAAGATATTCACCATCATATCCTGTATTAAACTCTAATTACAGTGGTAAAGCTATTGAACACGTATTTGGTACGAGTGTTAATCCGTTAGAACTATTCTTAATCGAAAGAAAAATCAAAGGGCCTAATTGGCTTGATATTAAGTCACCAATTCCTGTCAATAATGGTCCATCTTGGTGTAAATTACAATTAAATTGTCTTAAAATGGAAAATATAAGTGTTACTGAAAATGAAAGTAAATTACAAATTCCACCTATTGTCTTAATGACTATTGACGTAAGAACAACTTTAAATTCTCGTAATAATGATACTGAAATAGCAATGATTGGTATTTTAATGAATAATAATTACAATGTTGATAAACCATCACCTAAAACAATATTCAGTAAAAATTATTGTTTAGTTACTCATCCAAAAGATACAACATGGCCATTATACGCTCGTGATAAATTACAACGTTTTGATAAAACAACAAATATTATTATTTGTGAAACAGAAACAGATGTTTTAGAAAAATTTTTGGATATCATTAATGAAACAGATCCAGATTTACTTTTAGGATATGATTGTGGTTTTCAATTTGATATTATTTATCGACGATTGGTTACATTAAAAATTAAAAATTTAAGCAGAATAAGTAAACTTAAACAAAATATAGCTGGACAACTTGGTGGTGGTAATAATAATTATAAATTACCTCTGCCATCAATATTTAGTGGTCGTCCAATTCTTGACATTGTTGCATCAGTTAAAGAATTAAATATTAAAATACGTAGTTATGATCTTGACAGTATATGTCATGCTGTTTTAAAAACTCAAGAAAATTCTATTAAAGAAATAAAACCATCAGAATGCAATAAGTTTTATGAAACAGCTGATAAAATAATAACACTTGTTAAAGTAACAATGTCCGAAGCTCTTTATATATCAACATTGATATTTCAATTAAATGTTATACCATTATCACTTCAAATAACTTGTATTGCTGGTAATATATTATCAAGAACATTATCGGGTGGTCGTGCTGAAAGAAATGAATATTTATTATTACATGCATTTTCTGAAAAGGGATACATTATACCAGATAAAAAAAGTAAAACGAATAAAGATACAAATAAAGTTAGTGATAAAGTTAGTAAAAAACCTAAATATGCGGGTGGGCTTGTGTTAGATCCTAAACGAGGATTTTATGATAAATTTATATTATTAATGGATTTTAATTCACTGTATCCCAGTATTATTCAAGAATATAATTTATGTTTCACAACATTAAAAAATATTTGTAACATAAATCTTGAAGAAATTGATGATCTTAATGATAGTCTACCGAAACCAGATTCTGAAACAGGAGTTGTTCCAACAGAAATACGAAAGCTTGTTGAAAGTCGGCGTCAAGTTAAAAATTTAATGAAACAACATAATTTGAGTCCTGAATTGAAAATGAATTACAATATTCGTCAATTGGCGTTAAAATTAACAGCTAATTCAATGTATGGTTGTCTTGGAGCAACGCATTCACGTTTTTATGCAAAAACATTTGCTGCTATTATAACTTTTAAAGGACGTGAAATACTTGAACATACTAAACACCTTGTTGAAAATTTAAAATATGAAGTTATATATGGTGATACAGATTCATTAATGATTAACAGTGAATGTTTAGATTATGATAAAGCGTTTGAAATTGCTAAAAGTATTAAAAGTGAAGTTAATAAACATTACAAAATGCTTGAGCTTGATATTGATGGAGTATTTAAATATTTATTACTCTTAAACAAGAAGAAATATGCTGCTATTACAATTACTAAACTACCCAATGGTCAATTTGATTTCACAAAAGAATATAAAGGATTAGATATTGTAAGAAGAGATTGGTGTCAACTTGCTTGTGATGCTGGGAAAAAAATTTTGGATACTATTTTCATGGATTGCGTTGAAGAAGAAAAATTATTCAAAATTGGTGAAACTCTTGAAGAGATTTCCAATAGTGTTCGTAACAATACATTACCACTCTCATCATTTGTTTTAACTAAACAATTATCAAAAAATCCGAACGAGTATCCGATCAAAACTACGAATCACGTAGCGATTGCTTTAAGAATGAATAAAACTGGTGGACGTATGTGGAAATCTGGTGATACTATTTCATTTTTAGTATGTACTGATGGTAGTAAAAATAGTTCAAATGATCGTAGTTATCACATTGATGAATTTAAAAAAAATCATAATTTATCAATCGATTCTGATTATTATTTAAATAGTCAAGTTTATCAGGTAGTACAACGTATTTGTAATCCAATTGAAATGATAACCGAAGTATTTTTAATAGAGAAGTTAGGTATACGACACCTTCACAAGGAAAAATTTAAATCAACCAATTCTCATTCTTCACGTCATTACGAGACTTCGGATGAATCACGTGTAAGTAAGTGTTATCTTACAGTTAGTAAAAAAAAATATAAAAATTGTATTCCTCTTCTTTTGTACTGTTTGGAATGTGAAGCGTATCGTTCAATTGATGACATTTCATACCCATGTGAAGATGATGGTCGCAGACTATCTTTGGCTAAATGTATTCAGAAAGATTGTGAATTTATTCCTTTTAAATATTCATTTATTATTTTCAATGCTGTAATTCAGAGTATTCGTAAAGTTATTCAGCACTACTATCAACAAAGTTTTATTTGCTGTAACAAGCAATGTCGAAAAATTCAAAGAAAAATTTTTATCAGTGGACCACGACAATTACCAGTATGTTTTTATTGCGGACATGCTTATCTAAAGAAAACTGTTACCGATAATCTTGTAGCAAGATCTATCCGTTTGTACCGAAAAATTTTAAATGTTGCACAAATTCCTGAATGTGAATTACCTCCATATATATTAAATCAAAAAGAAATGTTTGATGTCTACAAAATGAGTGCAGAAATTGTTGACAATTATGTTGAAAGAAGTCGTTATTCTAAAATCAGTTTGCCTCAATTATACCATTCGGCTATTGAAAAAGAATGTAAGAAAAAAAAACCAACTAAAACTTTAAATATTACGGGAGCGGAAAATGTTAGTGATAAAAAAAGTTCAAAGTATGAAAATTATTTGGAAACGAGTAAACAAGATAATTTCTACCGTAAAGTTGTATTTTGGTAAATTACAAATAGTAACCAAATGTATTCAAAACAGACAGATTAATTTTTAAAACATGTAATTATAATTTTATACGAATAAGTTTCTTATTTTATTTACTGAATAAAATATTTCAATAATGTAAATTCTTTTTTTTTTTTTTTTTTTTTTTTTTTTTTTTCATTTTTCACTTTATAGTTATAAATAATAATTATAAAAAAATGATCAGATATTGGCTCTTCTAGAACTCTTTTGTATGAAATTCCTCCGCAAATCATTTTGTACTTGTTAATTTTATAAACTACTTAATAATAAAAACACCCGTGATTTCAAAAAAATCTGTGGGATTATTAAGTTTATTCATTAAAATGAAAGTAATTAAGAAGCTAAAAAAAATTATTGGTAGCACGGAATTTTCTAGTAATTTTACTTCATTTTCGATTAATTTATATTTAAAAAATGTATTATATTATTAAGTATGTACATAAATTAAAAATACTAATTTATACACATTGTTGTTTGGATGGATAATATAACTTATTTTTTCGTATGTTACTTCTTAAAGTTAAGGACGACGTCCTGAATTCAGTAATTTTTTCGTGATTTTCTGCGACTTCAAGACCATGGTAGAGAGAGTGTCAAAAGCCTCTCTAAAAAACTTTAACATTAACATAAAAGTATAAATTTTTTATATTTTCTCGGTATTTATATAGTGTTTTTTTTTTTATTTCAACTAAAAAAACTTTTACGTTAATTCATGAAACAATTTGTTATGTGGCTGTTAAAAAATTGAAATTCATTATAAATATAGTGCGCATGTTTTAACTGTATATAGTACCATAACACAGTGTGGAGTTGGATTTGTAACTTATAAAAAAAATGTTGATGAAAGTAAGGAGAAAAAATTCTAGATTTTCCATATTAATAGCGATTGCTTTCGGAATTGGAAGCGGTATTTACATTTGGAAACCATATTTAGAAGAACAGAAAGATAAAATAGATCGTGAAAAAATAACAAAAGATGAGGTAATTATAAAATCATATTGATCCCCGCTTTATTCCTAACCTCAATTTTAAATCTTTCAAAATTAAATAAATAATTAATATTATCAATTTCAATTGATTAAAAGTTCGGAGAATAAAGTAAACCGCTGGCAGCATTTCAAGTTGGGTATGAAGAAAAATTTTACATTTAAAGCATTTCTTGTCATAGCTGGAATATCTGGTATAGTTTGGGGCAGGTTAGTAATTTTTTATCCATCGATTATTTATTTTTAATTTTATATATGAATGAAAATTAATTATTTGATCGTTTTTTTTCCAGAATAATACTAGTTCCTGAGATAAAACGACATAATCGATCAAAGACTCATGACATGATGGAAACATTTTACGAAAAGAAAAAGGAGCGAGAGGCAGAAGAAAATTGGAGATTTACGTGAATAAAGATAAATATGTACATAGATCGAATTTAATTAATAAATAGCTTTTTGCCTACAGTTGATTAATTCTCCCTTTCAACTATGTTTTACAGTAACCCGATAGAATTAATTACATAGCTTTGAGTTTATTGATTTACATAATTAGTAGATTAATACTCTCTTGGTTTAAATTGTCCATTGTAGAATGGCATGTATTGGAGAACCGCTTTCCAGTCTGTGAAGTACAAAAGTGCACTTGAACTAAACGCTCCATAGATTGTAGCGGATGGAATCCTATAATAATAATAATAATAATAATAATAATAATCAAAAATATATTTACTTAATGCAAGCATAAATATGGCTATAAAAATGGAATATTGAACTTGTGTTACATAACAATTTTTCACAAGACGAATTTCGAAATTGTTGTTCACATACATCATAGACCATTTTTATAACAAAAAATTAAAGGATAGAGATCAATTTAATGATTCATTTATAAAATATTTACCATTTTGTTGCTAATTCAAGGTGCCTCTTGCCAATTTTCACCATCTTTGACTGCTTCTGTTAAAAAGATATAATAAATTATATTTATTTTTAAATTTACACTAAAAACATTGGAATATTCAACAATAAAATTAATGAGTATACAATTTTTTTCACTTACATCAACTAATTTATCTTTGTCAATATATTGTAACGCAAATATTTTACGCGAGATTGTGGTTATGAGAAAGTTTATTTGTCAATCGAAGAGTAGATGACACTAGTGGTGGCTAAAGAATTAAGCGGCAATTTAAAGTTAAAATTTTTCCACCTTTCAACATCGAAGCATTATTCAGAGAAATTAATCTTGCGGCTGTGATACTATTATCTAAATTTATATTAACTTTATTGATCTAAATATTTAATCAAGTTTTGGTTTTTCAGTTTTTGTTTCTTCCAGATTTAATTAAAAAAAAAAAAAAAAAAAGACATTCGGCAGCCGAAATGGAAGTAGATTTCATACGACATTAAAGTTAGCAGTCACTTTACAATTTTCTAATTTTTTTTAACAAAAAAATTTCTTCCAAAAAATTAATTTTAAAAAAATTGCATTTTTAGTATTTTAAAATTTCTACATGTCAATTTTTGTTTTTCTAATGTTTTTTGCACTAATTTATTTCACCAAAAAATTTTTAAATTTATTAAATACCTGCTACTTTAATTTTCATAGATTTCATAGTAAAAACCGTTGAAACAAACCAAATTGTCGTTAAAATTGATGCAATTATGAAAAAAACATTTTGAAAGAGCCTAACTGAACATAAATGAAAAAAAATTTAATTGACAAAACGACTAATTGCAAAAGAAAAATTTCATTAAGCACTAGGGTAAAAGACCTCATTACTGACACTTTCTTTGATTTTGGTACTTATTCAATTAATGAAATCATTAATTTCTATTATGAATACATCATTTCTAATCTTTAAGACCTTTAGATAAAAAAAATTTTTAATTTTTATTCCAAGTAGAACATTTTTTCATTGAAAGAAAAAATGCCACTAATAAGGCTTAGAGGTGCTATTGATGGGGTCTTTTTTGCTATTTTAAAATATTTAATTACTCCTAAAAGAGAGTCTTAGTATGTAAGTTCTTTGTTATATATTTAATCTACTGCAGAGTGAGCGTATAGCTCAAACCTTGTCTATATTATCATTAAAAAATAAAAAATAAAAAAAAATATGACTGATTAATCATTGTTTAAAGAATGAACTGATTTATTTTTATTTATCATAAAACATAAGAGAACAATTAATTTACTTATACTACTTATTGATTAATATATATATATATATTCCATCTTAATATAAAGCAATGCAATTGTATTTTAATCTTCACGTTTCTGATGTTAGTTAAAAATTTTTTAGATTTTTTTTTTAGCTCGTCTAACTTATAAAACATCATACCAACAAATTGGCTAATGGAAATACATAAATATATCATATATTTATAGAGCCATTCTACGTCCTTCAATAGAAATTTCAACTGCGCGTCTAGAAGAATTCATTTTCCTATTTTCCAAATGATTTTTAACATGTCGTTCAATTCTGCTCAACTGTTTTTTCGTGGTCTGTTGAACAAAGTCAATAAAATATGAATCATAAATTATAATTAAATAAACTCAAATTTAAATGAAAATTAAAATTGATAATTACCCGACTGATATCGACGTCTGATTTCCATTCAGGTCGTACGACATATTCTTTATTGGAAGGTTTGGGTACACGAGCTCTTGAAACCCATCCAGGTTCACCAGGTCTCAGAGGTCTAGAATAAATATTAAGTTATTATAATATTTAATACCGTTAAAAGCTAGATTATGTAAATCCTTAAAAAAAAAAAATTATCAAGATAAAAATACTTACTTAGCGTCGCCCTTGAGAGCTTTATTAATATCTTGAGATTTTTGTGACGAACCACCTTCATCAGTCTTTCTTCTCTTGTGAGGAGTCTGTTCCATATCTCGTTGCAAACGTTCTTCTTTACTGAGTGCTTTAAGGTCTGCTGAAAGATTAAATATTGGTCGGGCCCATTCGCTTATTATTTTACCAGCTCGCTCTTTATTTTCCTTAGTTTCTTTAGGATGTTTGTACAGATACATAACAGCTTTACCGATACCAGATGACTTGAGTGAGTTCTGATCAATACGGGGAAACTCCCATAACAATTTCAATAAACTCTCACGGATTTTCAGCGATGGTAATGAGCGATCAGGCATTGGTGCGAGCCAGTCGGTTAATACGTTCAATACATTGTGCTCAAGGAATGCCAGCTGCAAGTCATGTTTTTTCAGCTGTGAAAGCACTTTGGAAAGCATTGCAATTTTTTTAGTGGCAGGTTTTGATAATTGATTCAATTTTCTGTCTTCCTCAGAAGCTGTTTTCATGTCGTGTAATAATTGAGCAATTATGTCATCGTTGTCATTGATAATATCAATGTCCTTGCGCTTACGCCGACGAGACTGTTCTTCTTTTTTACGTGCCATCATACGATCAAAGTCTGACATAGAGTCATCTTCAACTCCTCCATCTTGACGAACTCGGTCGTCTTCGGTACCGTCATCTTTATCAACAAGATCACCACCATCTTCGTCTTCGGCAGCACCCTCTTCCAATTCATCATCATTTTTTTCTTTTTCTGCAGAATCTCCTTTTCCTTCGTCCTCGTTTTCATTTTCAGAGTCCGAAATTTGGTGCTTTGTGCGTTTTGATCGTTGTACTTGCTCATCATCATCACCTTCAGAATCCGATAGAACACGACCACGTTTTGCTGAGTTTGACCCAGTTGAGTCTTTGCTGCGACTACGGCTGCGGCTTTTTCTTGATCCAGACCTCGAGCGTGAACGGGACTTTGATCGTGATCTAGATTTACCTCTTGAGCCCGATCGAGACCGCGAACGTGAACGAGATCTCGATCTCGAGCGTGATCGTGAACCTGAGCGTCTTGAACCTGAACGTGATCTCGAACGAGATCCAGAGCGAGATCTTCCGGAACCGGACCTTGAACGTGATCTTCTGGATCCTGATCGTGAGCGTGATCTAGAACCTGATCGCGATCTGTGTGAACCCGATCGTGAACGTGATTTACGAGAGCCAGATCTTGAACGAGATCTAGACTTTCTCGAACCAGATCTTGATCGTGATCTAGATTTTCCCGAGCCTGCTGGTGACGCAGATCTTCTTGATCCAGATCGTGACCTAGAACGAGACTTTCTTGATCCTGATTTTGAACGTGACCGAGATTTTCTCGTAGCTGATGGTGAACCGGATTTTCTAGACCCCGATCGTGATCTTGAACGAGATTTTCTTGATCCAGACCTAGAGCGAGATCTGGACCTTCTTGTAGCCGATGGCGATCCAGATTTTCTTGATCCCGATCGTGATCTTGAACGAGATTTTCTTGACCCAGACCTAGAGCGAGATCTGGACTTTCTTGTAGCCGATGGCGATCCAGATTTTCTAGACCCTGATCGTGATCTTGAACGAGATTTTTTTGACCCAGACCTAGAGCGAGATCTGGACTTTCTTGTCGCCGATGGCGATCCAGATTTTCTAGATCCTGATCTTGATCTTGAACGAGATTTTCTCGATCCAGATCTAGAGCGTGATCTAGATTTTCTAGAAGTAGCGGGTGAAACAGATTTCCTTGATCCAGACCTAGAGCGCGATATTCTAGATCCTGAGCGTGACCTCGAGCGGGATCTCGAACGTGATTTGGAAGCATGAGATCTTGATCGCGAAGCGGCTCGTGATCCAGCGGAGCGTGACCTTGACCGAGAATATCTCTGAGAAGTAGCTGGAGAAGCAGGTCTTGAACCAGAGGGTGATCGGGCTACACTGGCTGCTCGATCATCACTAGGTGAAGGTGATCGTGATTTTGAACGTGATTTGTCAGCTTCGTTATCCTTTTGATCATGACAAGAATCTTTATCAGAACGCGGAGACACAGGATTTTTATTAACTTCCTGAGATGGTGATCGAGAACGTGACTTTGATTTAGATCTTGAGCGTGATCTAGATGGAGATTTTGACTTGGATCGTGAATGAGACCGTGACTTTGATCTTGAGCGTGATCTAGACTTGGATGAATGGCGAGAACCATTTGGGGATTTACCCACAGGACTATTGGACCTAGATCGTGATATTTTGTTAGCCACCGGTGAAGGAGAGCGAGAGCCAGTTTTGGAAGATTTACCAGTAGACTTGATACTTCTTGGGGAATTGGAACGTGAACGTGATCGCGAGCGTGATGCTTCTCTTGAACGGGCTGGTGATGTACCAGCCGAACGACTTCTAGACCTAGACATAGACTTTCGTGCAGCGTCTGGTGATTTTGAAGTTGCTCGAGAATCTACCGACGACCTTGATCTTGATCTTGATCTACTGGCTCTAGATTTGGCTGATGATTGTGATCCAGCACGGCGCGGCGAACCCGAAGGACTTCTTGATATTGATTTTGACCGTGATCGCGACCGAGAAGTCCTTGTGTTTTCTGGCGATGGAGATCTGGCTGAGGCTGGAGAACTTGGACGATCATTAGGTGACGATCCTCCAGACCTAGAATCATACCACTAAATAAAATATTGTTCAAACACAATTTATCGAATAATAATATTAAATGCAATTAAACCTTGGACTGTGCACACTTTTGTTCAATGCATCTGGACTAACAGACCTATCAGAAGCTATTGATCTCGACCTCGATCTACTTCTCCTATCGACTCCACGTGAACTACTCCGATCATCAATTTCATTCTGGTTGTCTAAAAAATAATCAAACCATCAGAAATAAAAATGAAACTACAATTAAAAATAAACAAACAACAGTCAACTAACCTGCATGATCAGCCATCACTTTGTCTGTGACCAATTTTTTATCTATATTAAGTAGATAATATTTTCCTTAAAAATAGACGGTGGTTAAAATATTGAAAAATAATATTTTCTTAAAATAAACTCCCTAATAACAGTTTGTCGTATTTATCCACGTTTCAATAACATTATACAACTTAGAAACAACTAGAAGGATTGAAAAATAAAGCTATATCACCGGCATGTTTAAAACTTCCTGTAGCGTATACAGTTTTTCCATTCTCTAATTCTTTTTTTCTCCGTTTTTTTTTTCACATTTTTTTCTTGATAACACTGGTAAAAACAAATATTATTTTATCAACTGATATCTATTAAACCAAAAATGTTAGTTCAAATCTGACCACTTGGCACTGATTTTCAAAAACAAAAAACTTTTCCCGATAGAGGCGCTGCGCGCGCATTCATTATGGAGTACGCATTATTCTATATCGGTTTATTTGTTGCGTTCAATGTCTGAGTGTAAAATCAGCATCAGCAGCAAAGAGTGAAGAGTGAACGAGTGTGTAGAGGCATCGCCCTAGATAACGGTAGAATTGTGCACTGTTGCGAGTGTCTTCCACGCGTTTAAAGACGTCCGTAAATATTATTAAATACGTGAAAATATATATAATACATATTGCTCTGTACAGTGATTATTGAAACTTTATTAAAATTCATTAATTAATATTATAATTAATGGTGTTTAATATTGAGTTAAGAGTTGATCGGCTGAAACGGAAAACGGCCCCCCGCACACGGCGTCTGCGGTTACTTCGGTGTATAAACGACTAAGAGTTTACACGCTACACAAAAGTCCGGGCAATAGCAGTGACACACTCGCACTTACACTGTGTGATAGTGATAATAAAAATATATTAATTATTATTATTATTATTATTATTATACGTAAAATAATAAAATTTGTTATTAGATTAGTGTGTGTTCAAATACTTGGGTTAAACAAATTTTTAATAATTGTAATTATATGTTCACTTTTTCTATCAGCTTTAAATAATATTATTGTTAAATAATCTAATCAATCAATAATAATAATAATAATAATAATTATTATTATTATTATTATAATTATAGGTACAATATAACCATTACAAGTTAAAATAATAACTCCATGTTCTTATGGCGGAGTGATGAGCAAGATTTAAGACAGGAAATAATAAATTGACGAAAAATAAAAAAAAAAACGTATTTAATAATAACAAACAGACATATCGGAGAGTATTTTTACAAATAATTTCGACACCCGGAAGATTGTGCGTGTTAAAAAAAGTGTTACTTATCTTTATTGGATTGTAATTGTTAATTACATTGTGAAGCAGCGGGAAATAAACGTGATAGGAGATACAGGGTAAGGATTCTTTAAATATTAGTTCTAATTATTGTTGTTATTTTTTTTTTTTTGATTTTCGACTGATTGTATTATGCAGATATTTTATCCAAAGTATTATAGCTGTCTAGAAAAAAAAATGTAGCGTCACTCTTTATGTTCGGCCGGAAATTGGCTTACATTGGCATGTGAGGAATGCCACGAACCGGAAAAAACCAAATAGAATAAAATAAAAGAGGAGAAAAATGTTTTTTTATACCTCTATTGAATGTTTGCTTAGGTTATTTATATTTTATTTGGTGTCTACGGCATTTTGGTCCAGTGCAATGTGGACTGGCTTTAGAGAGACGTTAGAGACTACGGATGCTATAATTTAATGTTCCTTAATTTAGATCAATTGTACCCCACGTACGTAGTGTCAATTGTACGCATCAAATTTCCGATAAATGCGAGGTCACTCTCTGTGTTCTAAAGGCAACATGCTCGGTCAGAACATGATAGTTTGTTCATAGCTAAGTACGCAATCGTTAAACTACTGAAACTAAAACAATTTCATTGCTACTAATTTAACAACATTTTATATAAAAAATATATCATTAACTTACTGTTAATTGCTGATAATATTCGCAATGAGTAATAAATGTTTTATTGTATAAATGTAGAAAGTGTTGGATGATCTAAGTTGATGAATCATACAAATGGAGAAGGCGTTAAGAAGTTTTGTGATGGTTAAACTTCTTTACTTTTCTAAATACTTAGCTGACTTTTATGTTTTTATTTCTCTTTACTTCTCTTCTGCTTCCATTTGATCAGCTTTTTTTAATCATTAAATTCACTTGTAGAGTTGTTGCTTATTGTGGTAACTATTTGCTCGTATGCTCATTGTCGAGCACATTATACACAAGGTCAATAAAAATAACTATCTTTTTTTTTTGTATACACATTTGACTGCCATCTAGACCGTAGTCAATTTTTATGTTTATGTTTTGCATTACTATCTATTATTCTACTATTCATGGATATATGAATATAAAATTATATGTTTATATACATATATTCTTTCTTCTCAGAATGGTGTTGAAGAATAAAAATTAAAATAAAAATAGAGAAAATAAGTTTTTATATTAAGATGACATTAAAAATGTATGATGGTTACTATTATTATTATTATTATTATTATTATTATTATTATTATTATTATTATTATATATATTGGGGAATAAAAATAGTATTTGTACGGTTATTATTTATTATTTTACGGTGATAAAGACAAGTTTGATGTTCACTTTTTTTATTTATGACTCACCAATGACTTTTCAAGTGTAAAATACCCTACGTCAAATGAATTATATCGATTTAGCGTGACGTTTACGTTTTGTTTAATATATATTTATTATTTGTTTATTTGTTGTCTATAGATACTAACACTTACATACTACACATGTTGCTAATTTATAAATAAATGATTATGTGATATAAATTTATAATTTAATGTTTATCAATAAATTTATCGCATACTTTTCAGAAGAATGCAAGAATGATTCATATGAGTTTTAAAAAAAAATATACTTGACTAAAAGTTTTATACTTTAACTCTTCGAGTAACTTTAATGATGTATAATATTAAAAACTTTAAATTGTATTTACTTTTTAAAGTAGCAGTAAAGACACATAATTGAAAATAATTGAAAGTAAAAAAAAGAAAAAAAAAATATAATTATCAAAATTATAAATTGTTGATGGATGATAAAATTTAATGTCTTCAGTTTTTATCTTTTGTTTTATTTTTGATTGGCATTTTTTTGAGTTAATCTCCATTCACCATTTTAACATTTTCCACTCGACAGAGCTTGTTATGTTCATTCAATTATCTCCGTCTTCTCAATCCCTATCGTTAACTCATTACAATTAATTTTATTCGTGCTTTTTTATTATTCGATAATGGTTATCCTTTGTTTTTTTTTGTTTTTTTTTTTTTTTAAATCTTTATTAGTACTTGTCTTTAAGAGAATAATAATGCTGTAAAAGATAAAAGATTTAAATGTTGTAGAGAGGAAAAGAAATTTGAACGGATTCACTCAGTGGAATTTTTTTTTTTTTTTTTTTTTCAACAACTAAAGGGCTCTTGTGAATCTTGTGTATTTTATATTTAAATTCAAACGTAAAATATAAAAAATATCAAGAAGTACATTGAGAGTGTAGTGTATTCTACACTAGGTAGAGTAGAATGAGCTGATAAAAATGAAATAAAATAAAGTAAAAGAGAAAATGTCGACGAAGATCAGGACGAAGGTAACTAAACGGAAAGCAGAATGAAAGAGCAGCGCATTGTATGGTATAGAGCAGAGGAGATTGTGAATTGTGAAGAAACAAGCTAAGCGATGAAAGAGTAATGTGTGAGGCGAGAACAAGTAAAGTTACGAAGAGTCGAAGCAAGTAAGCGAGTAAAGAGAATATAAAAGACACACAGTAAGAGAAGAAAGAGTACTGAACCCTCCTCGATGATGTTGAGTCTAGTGTATACGCTGGTGAGATAAAAACTAAACTCGGAAGGCTCTGGGGGAATGGGACAGTAGTTGAGGAGATAGAAATAATAAAAAGAGGTGAAGAAAAATGAAAATAAAAATATAAATGTGAGAAAGCGTTGACTTAGCCAGCCAGGGTTAGCCAACACCCTGGTGAATACACTGCGCATGAAGTTCACAAATCTGGTGCTAGTGCTGGTTTGCCGTGAGCTGCATATGACTCACTCAACTGTATGGTGTCACGCAAGGCCGCGAGTAGAGACGCGCAAGCGAGTACCAAACTGAACCCTCAATTTTCCATTACCGACTACATAATATAGCTGCGGATATCGAAGGATCGCTTCCGTTTAAAGCTCTTGGATATACACACTATATTACACACTACATCTACTACTCTACTACTATATTACTACACAGTACCGCAATATTTATATCTATACGTATATCTCTTTTTATTGTATGTATATGTATATATCCAGAGAGTTGAGAGAAAAGCACTCGTTGCTATTCAGCTTTTGTATTCTGTGGTTTTTGTATGGGTACGTTATAACGAGCTTTCAAAAGCTGCCTTCATATGTTGCCGTTAAATAAAAATTGATGAGTTTATAAATTTTTTGTTTAATTAGTCTAAAATATTTTTACTTTGTGCTTAGGCTTATCAAATTATTATTTACTTTTTTTAGTAACATGAGGAGTAAAATATTGTTGAAAATTATTTTTTTTTTTTTATGAACTCATCATATTTTTAAGTTGAATAAATTCACAGAATATAAATTGCCCAGAACAAAGCTACTGCACAAGAAAATTATTTAAAGACTGGAAAAGTTTAAAGTTTCTTTTTTTTCTTGTAAATAATGACCCGTCAGTAATGTATTCAGTCATAGTAATAACTAATACGTTACATTGACATTTGTAGAAATGAATTTAAATATAGTATTGTTAAAGTTTGTGGGAGATAATAAAATTGATTATTTTTATAGCTATAGAATTTTTAAGAGATCTTTTATTCAATATTCTCATATTATCTTGACTGTAAATGAAATTACGTTATTGAAATTCGGTAATAATAGACATTCTAAGCGTGACCTTTTTTATAAGTACAAAAACTTTTATTTGAGATCAAACTTTGTT